TGTCTGTGTGTGTGTGTGTGTGTGTGTGTGTGTGTGTGCAGGTGTGTGTACCTGTACTGCTGGTTGTGTAGTGTAATGACATGTTCAGATGTGTTTTTGAGCTGTTGGTTGTTATAGGTCCAGTAGACTTCTGTGGGTCTGGGGTATGATGTCATCTCCACGCTGAGGGTCAGACTTTCTCCCTCTCTCACCTCCATCACACTTTCCTCTCCCTCCGTGAGGTTCATGAAGCCATGCTCTGCCACACACACACACAAATGTAAGGTGAAAGTAAAATCCGTGCATCTAAGGCGGGACTTCCATTTCAACATGGTTGTTCTTTATCCTATTCATTTTCCTATAAGTGGCCCATCTTGCTCTTCTTGCTCTCTGGTTAAAGTCAATAATATAGAAAATGACGGTTTGATACAGCTTAATTTCTTACCGTAAACCTCCAGATTGACAGTTGCCATGGAGACACCCTTCTCATTCCTTGCAACACAGCGAAAGACTCCTGAGTCAATCATCTTCACAGATTCGATCGACAGTCCTGTTGAGAGCTTATATTCTCGAGAACCAGGCAGGATGTTTGATTTTTGGCTGTGATTTGCTATCTAAATCAGGATTGACAATAACAGTCTAGGTTAGGTAGTGTGTTTACAGGAAGTAATCTAAGATTATGCAACAGACGTGTGGATCTAACCGCTTCAGATGGGATACTCCAGCTCAGGCTGATATCATGGTTAATGTTGATGGTGCTACATTTGAGCACAAACTCCTGACCCTGGATCAGAATCATATTTTCGATTCTGGATAGGCTGATCACTGGCACTGTCTCTGGAACTGTATTACAAACAGCAAACATACAATAAAGCATACAATTATATAATTATATATATATATATATATATACATAAATATTGTGAAATATTATTACAATTTAAGTTTTCTATTTTCATATATTTTAAAATATAATTTATTCCTGTGATGCAAAGCTGAATTTTCAGCATCATTACTCCAGTCTTCAGTGTCACATGATCCTTCAGAAATCATTCTAATATGCTGAATTGGTGCTTAATTATTATTAATGATTAATAATGGTTCTTTTTATTATCAATGTTGAAAATATTTTTGCGGAAACTGTGATACTTTTTAAGGATTCTTTGATGAATAGAAAGTATAAAGTTTTTACTCTCACTTTTTAATCAATTTAATGAGTCTTTGTTGAGTAATATATTATTGAAGAATGTGGGAATGTAACCAAACAATTGCTGTCACCCATTTACTTAAATACTATTTTTCCCTACTATGGAAATCAATGGGTACCAGCAGCTGTTCGGTTACCCATCTTCTTCAAAATATCTTCTTTTGTGTTCAGCAGAATAAAGAAACTCATTCAGATTTGGAACAACTTGAAGGTGAGTAAATGATGACAGAGATTTCATTTTTTGGTGAACTATCCCTTTAAGAATTGTTCTAACACACATACACACCTAGCCGCACCCCCAAGTTATACTGGCTTGATTTCACAGGTTTTTCATCCATCTCTCCTGCACAAACGTAGCAGCCCTCAAAATCTTTGGAGACGTTTCTGATGGTGATCCCTCTCTGAGGGTGTGCGATGTAGATGAGGCCAGCTGGTAGAGCAGAGCCAGTACAGGGCAGAAGGGACAGGTGATTGACAGCAGGATCTGTTACTAAACAAGGAAGAGTGCCATCCTCTCCTTCCCTCACCAAAAGGCCATCCACCATGGAGCGCACAAAGGGGTTTTCCGAATCTGCCAGCAAAAGCAAGAGGGGAGACATTTTTGGTAGAAAACATGGAGAGAGATGAGAAAGGTGAACAAAGACATACAAATCAAAGGGCAATAAGGAATGAAAGGCAACAAAATGCGAGTGCAAGACATTAAACGCTGTAAGGATTTGTGTATGAGGAAATAGTAAGTAAATGAGTGTGTGCAACAGGTTTATCACACAATCGACTGTTCAAATACCTGTATCATTCAATGGCAGTTTACAATAATACAAATAAAAGAAATTCAACCAGATCCACACTAAGGTGTGGTTTGAGTACACAGCTTAAGGACATGCATTTGTGCTTTAACAAAAAACCTATTCACGTTTTAACACTCCTTCAGGAGTGAAGTGTGGGAACTGAGGCCAACGGACAAACTAACCCCTCAGAATCAAAGGGAACTGTGCAAACATGCACATTGAAACCCACCTTTCACATAGATGTAGATGGAGCTCTTCTCTTCCGTTTGTGTGTTTTCACAGGTGTAACGGCCCATATGCTGGACCTGTGTGGAGGAGAGGAGGATGACACTGACTCCATCTTCTTTTAGCCCTCCATCAATTTTCCGGCTTTTTTC